GCCGTGACCTCCCGCGGGAGGTCCACCCAGTCGGGCCCCGGCGGAGGCTGCTCCGGCGTCGTCCCGGCGTTCCTCTTCTTCATTTCCTCCTTCGTCTTCACCATACCGTGTGCGCTTGCTGGCCGGACGAGGGGACCGGGCGTGAGCGAGTCAGGGTTTTGCTCTGTGCGAGCGAGCGAGCGAGGGGAGGGAGAAAGCCGGAAGAAATTGAACACGGCCGATCCTTTCTTTTGCTTGAACAAACTAGGCATCATCACACAAGTTATCCCCGAATATAATCTCCGAATTTTTAATTTATTTAACGTGATTCTTAAATTTTAGTTCAACATGCAATATCTTTCCTGAACTCTTAATTTATTCAATGTGGTCCCTGAACTTTTGGTACATATTCAATCTAATCCCTTAATTATATGAAAATGTTCAATGTTGTCCTTTCATTAATTTAAATTTAGGGATCACATTGAATATTTTTATATAGTACAGAGACTAAATTTAACACGTATCAAAAGTTTAGATATCACATTGAACATATTAAAATTTTAGGAACGCTTCGCACATTGAGTTAAAGTTCATGAACCACATTAAAATTAGTTTAAGGATGACATTGTATATTGAGCTAAAGTTTGGAGACCATTTACATCATTTTCCCAACAAATTATATATAAGGAGAAATTAAACAAACTCCTGAGCTTTGATCTTTTTTACTTATACATAATAATCCCTAAAAATATTATTTTGTTATAGCAGTTAGTCCTCCATTATCTTTTTCGGTTAACATGTGCAATGCACGTAACTTTTAAGGAGTAAAAGTATATTTTTATCTCATTTTTTAAGGAAATCTCTCTTTCACCTCTGATTAACCGTAAAATAATTAATATAATACAAAATGGGAAAAATATAAATTAACAATTGTACTAATATTAGAAAAATGAATATTAATAATAATGTCAAAAGATAACTCTTTTCAAAATGTGATAAATGTAGCCACTTTAATAAAGTTATATAGTTCGACCAAGAAAAAGTTATACAGAATATGGAGGTAAATACACATAACTTTCTAGAATTTTGGACTTAGTAAACGTTTGCCCCTAAATTTTCAACTGTTATACATTACATCCCGAACTTTAATTTTTTTATGGTCGTTAATTTTCCGTTATATTTTTTGTTAGCATGTGTAATGCACATCACTTAAAGGGTAAATATATTTTAATCTTATTTATGATAGAAATCTCTCTTTTACCCTTGATTTTTATACAACATGATAAATATCAATAATGGAGAAAACTGAATTAACTAAACTGCTAATATAAAAAAAATAAATGGAATAATAATACTAGAAAATACCGTCGAAAATTGATGAACATTTTAATATAACTAATAATATATTTTAACGAAAAGAACACAATTAAGTAAAAAGAAAAGAGCCTCAATGATAAGGATGTCAAATGAAAAAAAATAATTAATCATTATGTACATCCAAATAGTTAATCATTGTAAAAAATAATTGAGAAGTATTATTAAAGTAATGATGTCCACAACTCATAAAAGGAAAAAATTAACTGGAATTCATGGTGATTTTAAAGTATTTTCTATAACCATTTAAAAGTAGATAATGAGTATCCAATTTCTGTAATTTGACGTTCTTGTTATTGAGGTCTTTTTCATTTTTATTTAATTTGTGTTTGTTCTTTTTTCTTAAAATATATTTTTTACCTCTACTAAAGTGACTATGTTTATCAAATTTTGTTTAATATTATTGTTGATATTCATTTTTCTATCATTAGTACTTAGTTAATTTAGTGTTTTTTTCTTTTTGCATTTTCTCTATTTTTCGTGTTCTTACACCAATTAAGGGTAAAAGAGAGTTTTCCTTAAAAAAACTGAGATGTATCACCCCTTGAAAGTCTTCTGCATTGCACATGCTTTAAAAACTGATGGAGGACTAGCGACCATAAAAAAAGAGAAAAGTTCAAGAGACATAGTGTTATAATCAAAAGTTTGAAGACAAATGTGTACTACCTTAAAAATTCAGAGAGGTTTTGTGCAATTTCCCCTAAAATTACGGAAAAAAGGATAAACATAAATTAGATTAAAGGAAAAAGGCATCGATAACAAAATTGTCAACTGACAAAAATTGGTCGCTCAATTTTTATATTTAACAGGTTAATTTATGTGAAATTGATTGGTTGCCAAAAATATTTCAAAATCTTATCAAAGGATATGATGCCTCAAAGAATAAAAGAAAATGATTAACCAAAATCTAATGTAATTTTTGAAATGGGCCAAGCACAATAACCCAAAGTGGTTGAATTGGCTGTTCTTGGAAAATTAAACATGACAGACGTGATGGCAAGTGTGTAGAATGTGATGTTGAAGCGAAAAACATTCATGCAAAAGTAGAACCTTCTATCAATCGGATATTAAAGGAGTTAGAGAGATAGAAGAGATACAAATGAGATTTATAATAGTTCGGCCTTCCACCTTGCCTACTTCATCTCGCAGTTCTAACAGCCTTAACATAGTTAGAATCCATTGTGTAATCCTTATGATGTTACAACTTGTATAGAGTACTGCTTCCATAGGAGTTTCGGGAGTCGCTTCTACAAACTCAAGCACCTCTCACAATGCTATATTATTCTCTTTTCAAATTACAAATATTCACACCATCTACAAAGATTTGCAATTAGAAAACACTTGATATATTCCAAGTTGCTTTTGGCTGATTCTAACACTTGAAGACAGCTTGGAAACTCCAATTGGAGTCGAATTCAAATTGATAAATATCTAGGATCACCAGAACTGTACCAGGTCGTATCTAGAACCATCTAGTTCAACTTTAGCATGGGTTGTTTTTGCAAAACACTCCTCCTAGACATTTCACGAAACTTCTCTGTATTGTTCACCTTCTAAAAGCGGGTCCTTCCAACCAAATCTACATCCTTATGTTCTAAGATTTGTTCACCTTCTATTGGTGCATTCAAGCTTTAAAGAACCTTCGTTTTGCAACTTGTTCACCATCTACAAATGTCTTTTTAAATGTAGACACACTTCCCATTCAATAGCTTGCTCACCTTCTACAAAGGCCAAAGCCTTTCCATGCTTTGAACATCTTTTTGCCGACACTATCTATTTATGGCTTGTGCACATAGAAGCTGTTCTACACATTCAAATATACACATTATTATCATTTGATTATTTGGTCATTTTGAAAATATCATTGAGAATTTTTTCAATAATTTTTAAAACAATTTTCTTGATCAATCAATTTTTAACATTAACTAACCATTTTACGATACATAATGAGACTTCAATTTTACTATTTGTGCTCTTTGTTATTGAGGCCTTTTTCTTTTTACTCAATCGTGTTTCTTTTTGTTAAAATATCTTAGTAGCTCTATTATTATATCCATCAATTTTGATTTTTTTTATTTTTTAATATTGTTATTGATTTATTTTTTCTGATATTAATTTTTATTTAATTTTTTCTTCTTCATTGTTTTTGTTTTTTTCATGTTTTTTAGAGGTCAAGTGTAAAAGAGAGTTTACTTTAACAATGAGATGAAAAAACACATTCATCTCTTAAAAGCCATGTGCATTGCACATGCTAATGGCAAATATAACAGAAAAAAATAAATTTTAGATAATCATGAACTTTTCCGCGATGACTTAGATGTCATTAATTATATGATTCAAAAGATTTGGAATTTTGAATTTCCATAACGCAGTTGGTAGAGTAGCCAATGAAAGTTAGATTTAAAAGTCTACAAATGTAGAAAAAATAAATATGACAGAGGGAATTTATGATTAGAGAATGTTTTGGAGCTTTTTATCGTATTATTGAAAACCAACTTGCAATTACTTTGTTTTCGAGTCGAAAAATTTAAATAATCCTCTTTAAGATTTTATACATATTATTCCAACGATTTCACCCTAAACTGACAAGAGAACTGAAATCTTGTGGATGATTTCCATGTTGTATTGATTCTAAACCAATAATTATGAAAAAAACCGAAATAGCAACGGTCAGAACATAATGCATCAAACACAAATTTTGCGTTCGGTTCAAAATATCTATATCATGTAAATGGGTGAAACTCCCACTAGTTTAATTTTTAGGGTAACTTTAGCACGTCTTCATCTATAGGTTGAATTGACGATCGTGATGAGAAAGAGTTTAATAATGTTGGGATAACGACTATGATATCTTACATATTTGACAAATAAATCATATTGAAAGATCAACAAAAAAAATATATCATCAAAAATTTATATCACATGCTTTATAAATAAATGAATATAAAAACATAACTTATATGTTTTTACAACATAAATTATAATACAAGGGAAAAATATATCTTTAGAGGGCTAATATTGAATGGCGAACATATTTCAAAAGTAAATATTTCTAAATGCATACAAGTGGCCACTTTCATGATTAAATGCTTTGAGAAGATTTGACTGTCGTCTGATAACTTATGATTAAATGCGTAATTAGATTAAATAAACATAATATATTGTCATGTCGTGACCCACGTGATTAAATGAATAATCACATAACTCTTGCTACTTTGCAATCGATGATGACATCTGTGAAAGAGTTAGAATGATATATCGATATGTATTCTATGTAGTGATCATGGCTGTGATCATCATGTCGATCGAGTTTTCAATATCGTGCGGTGCATGATTTGGCTCTTCATAAGATCCACAGGAAGCGCAGGTTCTCGTCTAGTGAGTAAATAGATTTTATCAGACATGGATAGAACTTTATTAATCTTTTGATCTCATTTGAAATGTTTCTCAACAAGCAAAATTGGTGTTCCCACATAAGGAAACCAAAATAAAAAGAATACAAGCAAAGCTAGCATATAATCATCTGGGTCCGAATCCTACTAAGAGGTCCATTCGAATCCCACCAAGAGGTCCACTAGAGATCGGGAATTGTCGAAGAAAGAACAAGATGTTCATAGCTGCCGTATGTTATTTTTACTAGGAGTCCATTTTCTTCTCAGGCAACAAGAAAAGGCTTGCTGGTATTGATCTCGGCCTTTGGTTTTGGAGCATTAATATCCTTCTGTCTATGATCTGATACCTTCATCTCAAAGCGTTGGAGCAAATTCTCTAATTCAGATATCTCCCCGCAGATATCCGTGGTAAGTTCGCTTCTCGCCGCAACATGTTGCCGGAAGCTGTGCACTAGATTAAGTCCGCTCTCGATCTCCATGCCTAGCTGTTCCATCGTCGTCCTCAATTCCCTAATATCCTCCTGCGAGTCTTTAAACTTCCTCTTTAAAGACCGGTAGCCCTCGAGCGACTTTAGAAGCTGTTGCGAGAGTTCTTTGTTACGCTCCTGAAGCGCGGTGTCTTTGTGAGCTTCTCCGCTGTGCTGCTTCTCCTTGTGCTCCACGGCACAAGCCTGTACTTTAGCCAACAACAGCTCATTTTGTGCCTTGAGATCGTTGAGATGCTCCTCCATTCCATTCAACTCATGTACCTTTTTTGTCAGCTCTGCCGCCATTATCTCCTTTTCTTTTCCTAGGCTAGAGCACATCATCTCGAGGCTCTTTCGAGCTGCCAAACTCGCGTTTAGCGCTTTCCTTAGCTTTTCCTTCTCATCGACAACAATCTCCTCGGGCTTCTTGTCCCTCTTTCCATTTCTAGGCCTAAGTTCCGTGTAGCATCGCCTTAGCTCTGCTTCCCTCTTATTGTCGCCACATTGAGACTTTTGGACTCGAGTCTTGACATCGTCGAGGATGGTCATTATCCCAGCTAATCTTTGCTTCTTGCGGTCATCGCCATTTTTGCCGCACGCTTCATTGTGATCTTGGACTAATTTTAGCAGCAGCATTATATTTGTGGCAACACCTAAAGAAAAGTAACTAGGAACATTAGACAGATTCCTAATAAAGATGGACTAACTAGAGATGTTCAATTGGAAATTTCCTTCTTCTTCCTACAGATAATGAATGAAAATCTAATGAACATAGTAACACGGCAAATAACATCGACATCAATGGAGATCAGGCCCCAAAGAAAGCATCCAGCGACATCGCTTATGAAGGTATGATTTCTTCACCTTCTAGCATGTAATCTTCTCGCCTTTCGACATTACCAACCGAAGGAGGAAGTAAATCTGGCGACGAATGGGCACGAACTCGGTTCGCATCTGCCATCAAACCTCTAATTCCAGGAGTGATGATATTTTGGAGATATGGAAGAGATAGCTAGAAGGATTGAAGAGGACGATGACAGATAGAAAAGGAGAGAGATTTTGGTTTTCACTCTCCTGTGAATCTCTCCTCCTATTCCATGTCTTTGTTTCTGCTTCTTCTAAGCAGTTTTCTTGTTTTCCTTTTTTCTCCTTATAAACCAACATTGACGGTCATTGTTGTGGGCAAATAACGGTTGTAGTTTGACTTCTTATTGGCCTTCCATTTGGTTTGACTTCCATTGCCATCTTTTGTGTGGTTCTTATAAATTCCCAGCAATTTTCGTTGAAACAGATATTTAAAAGACAATAATAATAATAATAATAATAATAATAATAATAATAATAATAACAATAATAATAATAATAATATTTGGCAAAAGGAAAAAAAATTCTGAGAGCGTTTGATCATGTCGTGAATGTGAGTACTCTGATATGTTGGATAAGTTCGAACCAAGGGGCAAATTCTTCGACGTACTCGACCAATGGTTTTTTTTCAATAATTGTTATTTGTTGCACGTAGTGAAGAACACAATATAATAAATCAATACAACAAAGTGAAATAATAAACGCAATTTGTTTTTTGACTGAATAGTATTCTGTTCACATAATTTTAGTTCACGATTATGACTTTAAGTCACGAAATTTCCATCTTTTCTAAGGCACCAAAAGTGTATTTTTGGTATGAGTATTTCACTTAATATAAGTTACTTTCATTGGAGAAACGGAGTTCGTATTTTAAGCACTAAGTACTTTCTACCTAATCATTTATGAAAAAAATCATAAAAAAAACTCTTTTCTTGGACATGTTTATAAAAAGAAAATTAGTGGTCGTTGAAAGTGAAATTCAAGGCATTAGACTGGGCCAATCTCAATTTTGGGTGCTAGGTTTTTCCATTATCTAGGAATACGAACATAGAGACCCGATTATCTGAAGATTGGAATGCTAAGTTGCATGCTTAATTCCAAAAAAAAAATTAAATAATTAGCACTTTAGGTCTATTACAATAAATTGCAAGGGCCTTGGTGGCCCGGGCAACAACCCCAAGTAACCCATGAAGTAAGCTTTTGGCATTATGCTAAACGATTGGCCAATTTCTTTAGAAAGCACAAACTTTAGCTCGAATCTCAATTTTGATCCAAACTTTTTTTTGTGTCTCATATGAAATCACCAGTTTTAGCTCGGGTCCCAATTTTGGCCGACACCTTTTTGTCTAAAAAGAAACATAAATTTTAGTTCGAGTCCCACTTTTGGCGTAAATTTTTTTTGTCTCATAAAAATGAACAAACTTTCAATCCATATGCAATTCTGGCCCTGTCAAATTTCCGTCAAGTTTCCGCTGAGTACACGTCGAATGACACGTCGAATTTTTTATGATATCATTGGATGGAAGCATGACGAGGACTAGACTTGGGTAACGACAGAAATTTGGTGGCTTTTCATGAGACAAAAAAAGTTTGTGCTAGAATTGGAACCGAGCTAAAGTTGGTGCCTTTTTGTGAGACAAATAAATATAGGGCAAGAATTGAGATACAAGCTAAAATTAATACTTTTTCATGAGACAAAAAAAATTTAGGCCAGAATTGAAACTTAAGCTAAAGTTATTCTTTAATAAGGAAATTAGGACCCAAACAAATAGGCGCTTAATCGAATCAAGAAAAAGTTCCTTTCACTTTGTAGGACGACGACAATCTATGACATCCCCAATTTAGACCGAAACGACCAAAGGAAAATGACCATGGAAGTAGCAAGCGGTCCGATTCGAGGGTCGGTAATGGAATGAATAGTAAGGTCGGAATGCGTGTATTGAGGATTGGCTAAGGGATCGACAATGAAATGATTCCCCAGTCACGCAAGTCGATTAGAGTGATTCGATCATGAATCGACCTTTCAACCACAAGGGTTGCTAGTGGGATAGTCCGGGACCACCATGGGTTGGTGCCATGCGGGCATGTGTCGATCGAGGGTGATTCAGCTCGGCTATGCATCGGTCGCGGGTGACCATGGATTGATCTTGTAGCACTGGGTTCCACGCGATTACATGATAACCGAGGGTCGACCATAAATCGTTGATGCTTAAACGTGGATCGGTTGTGAATCGGCCATGGATCGTTGCGTTGAGCTGGGTAAGCCATGGATAGGCCATGTACAAGGCCAAGAGCCTTACGGCTTGGTCGCGGACCAGGCTTTGTGCTGACCTCGCAAGCTAGGCCTTGTGCCCCACCATGGACCGGCCATGAACCAGCCATGAGCCTGTCGGTTACGCCACGGATCGGCCCTGTGCCCGGCTGTGTGCCGATCATTGTGCTTGGCACTTGTGCCATGCTTTGTGCTCATCCTTTCTGATCCAAACTTAGTCTTGTGCCAATCAGACTTGGCCACGAGCCATGCATTGTGCCCGTTCGTGAGCCAATGCAAGTGTTCGGCCCGTGCACCGGCCCTTCACTCGTGTGGCTCAGCCATGCGCTCAGCACACCGATAGTTCGACTCGGCACCGTGCTCATGCAACCGGCCTTGTACTGTCCGTTTGGCCCAGCGCTCGTGCGGCCCGGCATTGTGCCCGGTGCTGCGCTCATGTGACCCGGCCACGTGCCATGCCCTGCGCCCGGTCAAGCCCAACCGAATAGGCCATGCACTTGATCAGTCTGACTAGTCAGACCTTGCACCGTTCAACCCGGACTTTAGCTTGGTTATGACTAGTCATGCTTGGACATATTTTTACACCAAACTTCGGTTCGAATAGGATGGTTGATCATTTTTAGATACATAAATTCCCTTTTATTTGGTTCGCCTTTGCTAGTATTATAATGGATTTTGGAGGTTGTGCTTAATGAAGAAGGTGAATCATAAGTTAGTTGTCCTTAGAGGATTATTGGCTATTCTTTGTTGACACCTGATTTTAGGCCAATTTTTCAAATTTACCTAAAAATCATAAAATTAGGATTAGGAACCTTGGCCATGCTTAGGAACCTATTTCTAAACAATAAATAAATTTTTTAGATTTTTTGTGAATTTTTCCTTAATTTCTTTTGGCTAAAAGGGGAGAAAAATCAAGAAAAATACCAAATGGAATTCAAAAATTCAAAAAAAATCAATAGTCTTATTTTAATTCTAATTTCATCACTGTATTTTCAATTTTAGAAAATTTTAGCTGGGAGTATGTTTTTCCCAAAATTGGGTAATTTCATACCCCAATTGAGCAAAAAATCCAATTAAATCATTTTTAATTATTTTTAGGCTATAGTGTCTTCACAACAATTGATTCTTCAATTGCATATTAGCCTGTCCAATTTCACAATTTGGCAAAGGAATTGAAAATTCCCAAAATTAATTGAAAATTAGGGATTTTAAGACCCAAATTGAGGATTGTATTCAATCCGAAATTATCAATCAAGACTCATACCTTCTCTAGGGTTAATTAGTCATGGATAATTCAATTTTGGTCTCAATTTTGCCTAATTAGGTCATTTAGACACTTAATTGAACAAAAACCCAAGTGAACCGAATCCAAAATTGGGGATTTTTTTAAATCTAATTAAAGTGAAAATTCAAATTGAACCCCTATTCTAGGGTAAAATGAGTCAAGGAGTCAAAATTTTGGGTTAGAATTGAGAAATTGGGTCAAAATTGGGTCAAATTTTTAGATTTGGACCAACCTGAGTCTGCGGGGTCGATCAGATCGAACCGACCCAACCCGGGTCAGTCATCCTCTTCACCCGACTGGGCAATGCGTGGGAAAGGAAGAACTATCTAATCAAAGCCATCTCTTCACTGACTTAGAAATCTCATTCAGCACATGAAAAATAGGATTGGACAGCTAGAGAATCTCCAGCTGTCCATCCTCATATGTTCTAACCAATTCGAAAGTCGGTTAGAGCTGAGAACCGACTCGGAGAGGTGGATAAAAATTGAGAAAAAACTTCTTATCAGGGAGGGAACCTGTTCGACAATTTGCCAAAAAAGAGAGAGAGAAAGAAGACGAGCGAAACCAAAGAGAGAAAGTTAGAGAGAGAGGGTCAGAGGTCCCCAACCGAGCGTCCAGCGCCACCCTAACCGGCAGAGCACCGGCAAATCGAGCACTCATTTCAGTCAAACCGGCTGATCGTGAGCACTTGAAACCGAGGCTCGTCCGGCCAGTCTAGGATCATCCCGGCGAAGCAGAGATCATCACCTTGAAGAACATGTGTCATAGAATTATCCCAAAGTTCTCACTTGGTTTAGAATTTCAGATTTAAGCTCCAGCGAAGAAGGTAAAATTTGTTCCCAATCACCTATAACATGTTTGACAAAAATCCAGAATAGGCACTCGAGTTTCATTAGGTTTGATTATGCGATTTCCTTTGTGATTTTGAGATCATCAATCCTTAAAACATGTTTTTGATCATATATTTCATTGTTTGTTGCATCTTGGATCGGATTATGCATAAACCGTGGGTTGGCCTTGGTAAACCCCCCTCACCGGAGCTCCCAAACCTTACTGGAGTGCTTCCCGATGGCCAATGGCCATTCCAAGTCAGTTGTTCATACTCTCTGATTGTTTTGGTTGATGTTTGATTGCTAGAAACGGCTAGGACGACTTGCTTGCTGATTTGAATATCGAGATAGATTAGGTTTAGTCGAGTTTCAAGTTAATGTTTTTAGGCTTAGTTTTTGCTAGCCGGCGGTGGTCCGATGACGATTTGGCGGGGCTAGGTGATTAGAGGGTGTGAAATAGTTGATCTAGGAGTTGTGAGGATGATCGGATGATCGCTGGAAGGTTACTAAAAAATGATCTCAAAGTCATGGTCCTGAAATGGTAAAACTGATATTAATGCATACCAATTGTTTGTAAAAATGTCCCAAAGAATAGTGTCAAAAACAGTGTGATTTTGGTGAGTTTCTCGCCCGAGTGCTAGTCGATGTAGGCCAGGCAGGTCCAACCTGGTCAGACCGGTCTTAACCGGTTTGGTCTGATTCATTCTCGGCGGGAAAATAAAAATAATAAATAAAAATAAAAATTCAAAAATAATAAAAATTAGAGAATTCAGAAAAATCCTAAAAAAATTAGAAAAATCATAAAATTCATTAAAAAATCAGAAAAATCAGAAAATCCTAAAAAATTAGAAAATTCAGAAAA